CTTGGCAGTTGCAGGAATGAATCCTTTATTGCAGTCAACAGATGGCTTCTCTTTTAATGATGACCAATTCTTTAAAAAAAGATAAACATATTTATTGCTTTGAACTTCACCTTCAGGATGTATACACCAAATCCTATCAAAGCAGTCTCTGAGACTGCCAGATTTTTTAATGTGTATATGCAAATTTTAGATCTGAACGCAATCCAAACACCCTCATTATACAAATTGAAAACGCTGGCCAGTGTGGTGGTGAGTGTCACATGGTCACAGGTGGGCAGCTGCAGAACTAGTCCTAGAATTCAGGACTGAACTCGCTCAGCGGTCTTATTTCACCGCTTTTGACTGCTTCCTCCCCCTATTGAAGAGCAGCTGGCTTCAGAGTTCTTCACGCAAATGATTTATTTTGTATGGGACACGGAATGGTGCCTACCCTGTTTGGTCTCAGAGCCTTGAAGGCTGGAAATGTATTTGTAGCAAGTATATTTTAATAAGAAATAGCCAGAGATGAGGGTATAGTTTAGTGGTAGAGCACTTACCTAGCATCCAAGAGGCCCTGGGTTTGATACCAGTACCAAAACAAACAAAGCAAGCTAGAGAGAGTCTTGGATTTCTTATGAAAGTACCTTAAAACTTTACATGCTTCCTGGACCCTTTTAGTTTGCTAGTGAAAGAAAAAACTCTGGCTATGGATATAGACCTAAAATTTTACATACAAATTTAGGAACTCCATAGACTCCACATTAAAGAACTCCCATCTAATAATTGGGGCTACTCTCAAGCACATATGAACCAGCTTTTCTAGAAAGAAGTCCAAAGAAATTCTCTGGAACTAGTACCAACAAATATGAAGGGATTCAGTAGTAGTTCACAGTCTTCCAAGTCACCATTCAGACAGTCCATGTCTGCTGACCCATTAGTCACTGCTGACTAATATCCACCTTGGTGACACACTCTCTGGAAGCTTTATAAGGTTGTTGAGTGGTATTAAATTAGAATCAGAAAGCTATTAATTCTTAGTAGCAATTTTATATTCTCTTAGCATTCTTAAAATTAAAAGCCCTGTTAGATATTGTTTGAGCCCTGACAATAAAGAAAGGACTAACTTTTCCTCATCAAAGTGAAGGTAAAGGGAGCCTCTTCTTTTGACGCTAACTTATTTTTGCTTTCTCTTAATTACACATAAAAGGGAAGAGGAAATAGCAATGACAATCTCACTTTCAGTCCCTCCAAAGGGCACAGACATGCAGGAGTTATATTGTAGTGTCAAGAGAGGAGGGAAGGGCCTTAGTCTGAATCTCTCTTTGATAGTGTTAGGCTGGAGGTTCAAATTCCCCTTCCTCCACCACCAGCTTCCTCCTGCCTATGACCTGCATGCTCCCCTTTTCTGGGACGCATAACCCCTTCATTTCTGTGTTGCTGGGAAATTACTCCCAGGCTATGACCCTTCTGCTCAGGGTGAATTTTTAGCTAGTGACAATAACCTGCTTTTCTTTATTCACAAGTTTTTAAAAATCCTGTTTGTTCTACCAAGTTTCTGATGACAAATAGAAACCATTTTTGTTGCAAATGTTTTTTTGTATCACTAAAAGTACATTATCTGTGTGTCCTGTCTCCTCCTCCTCACCTAGAATGACACCCTCACCATGGCAGGGATCTGTCCTATCAGTCTAGTTCCCAGTTATATTCCTATTGTCCAGGGCAGGGCCCGGTACCAGTACTGGCAGGTGTCTGGTAAATCTTTGACTCTGAGTAAATATCTTCCCCCATGCACTCTGCAACAACAGACAGCAGTGCACACAGATGGTTGTTAAAGAGTAGCTGGGAGCCCCCACCCGCAGGGTGCTGCCTCGTGGTTTCCTTCCCTTTAGAACTTTGTGTGGTTTACATAGCCACCCAGACATTTCAGGGCTCTAAACATTCAGCCAGTAGAAGAAACTTTCATTTTTACCAGCGATGAAAGCAGAGTGTTTCAGAAGTGTGACTGTGGAAACAGCCTGGTAGAAATCTGGAGTCCAGCCTCTCCTGCCAATTCTGGAAGCTTCAACCACTCACCTCATTCCTCCGGCGGCTCCAGCGCAGTAGGAGGTGTGAGGAGGCATGGAGCAGAGCTTCATAACTGCTCAGGTGGCAGCGTAGACAGTGTCTTGTCCCAGATCGCTGCCCAGAGGAAGAAAGCAGCCAGATTATCAGAACAGAAGCCCAGTCAACAGTCAAGTCCTATGGGGCCCGCACCAGGGTCCAGCCCATCCGAGCTCCTGGTCTTTCCTGCAGACAGCAGCATTCCTGGCAGCAGGCAGAAATTGGAGACCAGCAAACAGCCTCCATCCGGAACTTGAGCTGCCTCCAAAGCGCCTCCCCCTGCCTCACAGCCTCCCCTCACCCAAGGGCCACACTGCCGAGTCCTCGGTGTCCTCCTCCTCGTCCCATCAGCAGTCCAAGAGCAGCAGGGGCTCCAGCAGCAGCACCATCACAGATGAGGATGAACTGACCGGAATCCGTAAGAAGTTACCACTTGAGAAATACCAGCCCATTTTTGAGGAACAAGAGGTAGACATGGAAGCCTTCCTCACACTCACTGATGGTGGCCTGCAGGAGCTGGGCATCCAGACAGATGGGTCCTGACAGCAGATCCTGGCAGCCATCTCTGAACAGAACACAGGCGAGGGACTCAGACAAATTTTACAGGAAACCATTCACAATTTCCTCTCATCCTTTGAGAGCAGCACCAGCAACACCAGGGCCCCTGACAGTAGTCCCTCCATGTCTGGTTGGGTGAGGCCAGAAGAAGCAGCCCCCAGCAAGAGGTAGCAGCAGCTGAGATGGCACTGCCAGCATCCAGGCCACAAGGAAGCCAGGGTTGGCCCATGGATTCCTGTCCTCAGCTGTTCCTGACTTTGGGCGTTTGTGTTTCTGGGATTTACACCGAGGTGGACAAAAAGAAAGAAGGCTGTCTGATAACCATGGAGGCTGGCCCAGCAGGCAGAGTGGAACCCCCTCTCATTTGCTCCTGCCCTGGAGTTGCCCAAAGACACTGTGCAGGCCAGGCCCAAGGCTAGATGGCTGCAGACAGCTCCCCTGAGCTGTGTGTCCAAGCTAAGTGCCATGTGCTGTGCACGGATCCTTCCCACAGCCCAGAAGAAGGTGGCATCCACAGAAGGTGAAGTGGTGAAATGAAGTGCCTCTGTGGCTGTCCTTGTCCATTTCAAGCAAGTTAATCGTGTCTTATTAACCAGTGGGTCCTGTTCAGTGTGTAAAGAGACCTGGTGTTTTCCCTAATAAAGTCCATGCCAAATACTGGTGGAAGTAGGTGTGTGGCCCTGGCAGGTACTGTCCCTTTATGCGCTTCAGCTGATTCATCTGTAGACCGAGTCAAGCTCTGGCATTTGCTGATAGGGTTATTTCAAAGAGTAAATCAGGTGCTGTAGGTAGAGTGTTAGAAGCCACTCTGGAACATATGTGTTCAATAATATGGGTAAGATGACAATGAAGGTGGTAGTGGTAGGGCTTGGCCAGTAAAGTCAGAGGGTAAGCGTTTCTGTACTTTGTTATCATCGGGTCATTCCACTTTATTAAACACTTTTCTTCATCATTGCTTCCTTAAAATGTAAGACTCACATCATCTCTTAGAAATATTTTTGGCATTTTAAAATACATTGATTTTTAAAAAGGTAGATTAAGAAACACAATTTGATTGCTTGCACTAGTTGTTTAGTTACTGTGTAACTATTTTCATGAGTATTTGAGTTTCTTTCCCCCAGAGACTATGTAAAATTAGTTTCTTCTATTTGGAGCATTTCTATAATACTGTCCTCCATATTTGAATCTTTCTCACAAATGTTATGGAGGAAAAGAGTAGTCATTATTGTTATTGTAAAATCAGAATAAATTAGCATGGAAGATTTTAAATTGTGAGCTTATATTCATGAATTTTCAAAGATTATTTCACTAAGAATTATGCTTCTGTATGTCTTTTTAATTTTTTTTCCTCTGTTGGTGAGTCCATAAATACCAAATTTAAAGTTTCCATCAAGAAGAATTATTTTTAGGTCAGCCTTAAGAATGGGGTGTGTGGAGGGAGAACAAAAAGAAAACTTTCAATTATATTCCACACCCTTAAATGATGACTTACACTAATGTGAACTTTGGGTGTAGAGGGAAGTTATAAATGAAATTGAAATAAAGTCAGCCTATGACCTGAATCTGTCTTTTTTGGTTTTTTGTATTGCTAAAATGTTAATAATAAAAATACTGTTTGTGGTTTCCTAATAGTCTAAAATTTTTTTTCATTTTGTTTGGTGCTCTGTTCTATTTTTAAAAGGCACTTAAAAAAGAAAGGAACTTGGAAAGGATGTTAGAGGAAGAGACAGCATAAAAGCAGTAGACGAGGTGTCTGAGACTTTTCTCATTTGTGTCTTAATGGGCCATGTGGATGATGCTTTTATCCGTGAAGAAACTTCTGTGCTGTCTGAATGAGTTGTCCTATTTTCAGCACTTTGGAGTTCTCTGTCCTCCCCAAGTTCGGAAAGTGACAGGCTGGGGAGCTGGGTTCTTTTGTTGGTGATGTCACTTAAATTTTAGTTCTCAGCCCACCAGTCCCTTTCTAACAAAACCTTCACTACAGAGTTGGTAAGATGAGTAGCAAAGACTTCTTTGGATCATATGAATAACACTGGAAAATGATAGATATAGAAGAAATAGGGTACTTTTTAAAAAAATACAAGATACTTGGCTCAGAAGGAGTGTAGAACTGAATGAAAAACCTAGGGCAAAAGCCATAAGACTAAATTATTTCAATAAAAGAATAAAAAGAAACATTAGTCTGCATAGCACATTTTGATCTTTTAGTAGCCTGTGTAATTTGCTATTTGTGGGCTGCATGGTGGCAGCAGGGGCCTCTGATGCTTCGTATGTGCAGCCTGCCTTCCATGTGCCATGGAGGTGTGGGGTGATAGTTGTTGGGAGCCTTTCACAAGTAGAATCTTCTTTCTCCTGTCTTCCAGATTTTCACCTGATGGAAGACTAATTGTGTCATGTAGTGAGGATAAAACTGTTAAAATTTGGGATACCACAAATAAGCAGTGTGTTAACAACTTCTCAGACTCCGTAGGGTAAGTCCACTGGTTTTGAACATCCAGATCTGTCAGTTTGCTGAGAAGACCTTTCATTATAACAATTTAGGTAAATCAGACTGATGCAATTGCTACATAAGGTTATCTTATTCTTTCTTTGTAGGTTTGCAAATTATGTGGACTTCAACCCTAATGGTACATGCATAGCTGCAGCAGGATCTGATCATACTGTGAAAATCTGGGATATAAGAGTGAACAAATTACTCCAGCATTATCAAGGTAAACAGTTCCTCTTAACAAAAACTTGAGTTATTGAATGGCTGCCCTGGGAAAGACTGGTTCTGCTTAGTGTTGTGGTCTGCTTCTCTTGGTGGGGTCAGGAGCTGCATCTGGACTGACTAGATAGAGAACAGGATAGTTAGCCCCTGCTCATCAACAGCAGGAACGAGAGGGGAGAGGGAGGCAAAGCAACTTTAAAAATGAACTGAGGCCAGTAAAAGAAGTTACTGTGGGATTTTCAAACCAGTTACCTGCATTGTAAAAGAACTCAAGGATAGAAATTGGCTCTGAATTCTGAATTACAAAGTTATTTGAGCCTAAGTAAGTGTTAAAACTGGTAGAAAACAACTTCTTACCATGCCAGTGTCTGTGTATTAAAACTAAAAGGGAAGTGAAATCGTTTTCTTGGTTTATTTTTGAATTTACATTAAGTTCATGTTATTTCACATAACTAATAATAGCCATCACTCAGTGTTTACTGTGTGGAGGTGCTGTGCTAAATCCTCAGAAGATTTTTAATAGGTATCATTATTACTCTCGTTACAAAAATAAAGAAATTGAGGCATACGCAGGATAACTTGCTCAAATAATTGATAGAACTGACTTTGGTCTTTCTGCTGACAAAAGCGCATGGAAAAACAAACTTTTGCTGTCTGCACTGCAGTGCCTCCTATTGGCAGGATGATGTCCAGAAATGGATTCTCAAACCCAGTGACCAGAATGTCTGTGCTCTTCATGTGTATCTCCCCATTCATCACCTTTTAATTGCAAGTCCCTAATTGCTTATTAGATTTGAGGCCAGGTTCTATACCTTATATGAGCTGGTAGTAATCGACTCTTGATTATATTGGTAATATAGCCAAAGACTTTATACTTATGTGGTCAACAAGATTATCTTCACCTCACAGTCTCATTCACCACAAGCTATATAATGCCAAAGTATTTATTCATTTTAGTGAGCCATTGCCTCTAATTGATTATAATTTTCAAACTAATATTGCTAATGAGACATAAGAGCATCCTTAGAATTAAGAATTGTTCTCTGAAGGAAAAAAACTTAAGATTTTAAAGAAAAACAATTATATTGAAGCAATTTATCAAAGCATTAAAGATCATGTGGTAGTAAAAAATTGTTGTTGCTTGAATTTTTGCCTTTATTTTCTGCAAATTAGTTCACAGTGGTGGAGTTAATTGTATATCATTCCATCCTTCGGGTAATTATCTCCTCACTGCCTCTTCGGATGGTACACTTAAGATTCTGGATCTCTTAGAAGGAAGACTTATATATACACTTCAAGGACATACGGTACTAACACTGAGATTTTTACTTTTTAAATAATATATGTTTAAAGTTTGATCCATTTTATGATATGCCTATATTATTTTTCCAAGTATAGCACAAATTGCTGCTAGCACTAAAAATTTTTACTTTCAAAACTATGTTTTTATATTATTTTGTCAAAATCAGTGTCTTCCAGTGGCCATTAATTAAACAGTGCTGCCTTCAGCATATATAGCTCAGGCTGACTGGGTAAATGCTGATGATTACTTTTATTTCTTACTTCTGATTTCCCCTCATGCGGAGGCTGACACAGCTGCTCACTCCCCTCACTCTTCGCCTTTCGCTAATCTGATTGCTGAACTTAGAAGGAGAAATTTGACAGTCTCTCTCTCCCCCCTCCCTCTCCCTCTCCCCCCTCCCCCCCTCTCCACTGA